GCATATCTAAGCTGTAAGTTAAATATCCGGGGACACTGTATGGAAGTGTGGATCGGTGTCTTCTGAGCACTGGACTTGCCATCTGGGTAAAATCACCCACATTGTGCCGGTTCAGTCACCAGTTACTGGACATCCATTCCACTGGTCTGTTCCACATGTTTGCGTGATCGACCATGACATCGTATACCCGCGGTTTCATGTTGAATAGTCATATAAATAATCTATGTTGACAAACATTTATTTTACACTGTCATAGTACAGCTCACAAAAATCAATGAATGTTGTTCTATGAAAAGAATAAATTAATTATTAATCTTGTTCGTGTTCCCCTCTACCATATGAGCCAGTTGCTATAGCTCTGTATATAAGTTCTAGAATAGATTATATTCCGTGTGAATATGTTTCGTATAAGTGAGACACAACAACATGTAATGAAACAACATACGTAGGCACGATGCTCCAGACAATGTAATGAAACAGCATATATAGACACGATGCCCCAGACCATGTAATGAAACAACATATATAGACATGATGCCCCAGAACATGTAATGAAACAACATATATAGACATGATGCCCAGAACATGTAATGAAACAACATATATAGACACGATGAAACAACATATATAGACACGATGCCCCAGATGAAACCATGACATGATGCCCCAAACATGAATGACAACATATATAGACATGATGCTCCAGAACATGTAATGAAACAACATATATAGACACGATGCCCCATGCCAACATATATAGACACGATGCCATGTAATGAAACAACATATATAGACACGATGCCCCAGAACATGTAATGAAACAACATATATAGACACGGTATAGACCATGTAATGAAACAACATATATAGACACGATGCCCCTGACCATGTAATGAAACAACATATATAGACACGATGCCCCAGACCATGTAATGTAATGAAACAACACATATATATGTAATGAAACACGAAATAGACCATGTAATGAAACAACATATATAGACACGATGCCCCAGAACATGTAATGAAACAACATATATAGACATGATGCCCCAGAACATGTAATGAAACAACATATATAGACATGATGCCCCTGACCATGTAATGAAACAACATATATAGACATGATGCCCCTGACCATGTAATGAAACAACATATATAGACACGATGCCCCAGAACATGTAATGAAACAACATATATAGACATGATGCCCCATGACCATGTAATGAAACAACATATATAGACACGATGACATGATGCAACCCATGACCATGTAATGAAACAACATATATAGACATGATGCCCCAGAACATGTAATGAAACAACATATATATAGACATGATGCCCCAGACCATGTAATGAAAACAATATATATAGACATGTAATGATGACCCCCTTGATTATGTAATCAAACAACATGACATGTAATGAAACCATGTAATGAAACAACATAATGAAACAACATATAGACATGATGCCCCAGACATGTAATGAAACAACATATATAGATGCCCCAGAACAACATATATAGACATATGCCCCATGTAACAACATATATAGACATGATGTAATGAAACAACCACGATATAGACCATGTAATGAAACAACATATATAGACATATATAGATGATGCCCCATGACCATGTAATGAAACAACATATATAGACACAACATATATAGATGCAACCCAGAACATGTAATGAAACAACATATATAGACATGATGCCCCTGACCATGTAATGAAACAACATATATAGACATGATGACATGTAATGCATGATGCCCTGACCATGTAATGAAACATATAGACATGATGCCCCAGAACATGTAATGAAACATATATAGACACGATGACCCCAGAACATGTAATGAAACAACATATAGACACGATGCCCCAGACCATGTAATGAAACAACATATGCACCCTGACCATGTAATGAAACAACATATATAGACACGATGCCCCTGACCATGTAATGAAACAACATATATAGACATGATGCCCCAGAACATGTAATGAAACAACATATATAGACATGATGCCCCAGACCATGTAATGAAACAACATATATAGACATGATGCCCCAGACCATGTAATGAAACAACATATATAGACATGATGCCCCAGACCATGTAATGAAACAACATATATAGACACGATGCCCCTGACCATGTAATGAAACAACATACATAGACACGATGCCCCTGACCATGTAATGAAACAACATATATAGACACGATGTCCCAAAACATGTAATGAAACAGCGGATATAGACATGGTGATTCGGATTATACAATGAAACAACATCTATCGAAATGATGCCCCACGAAAGACAGTCGTGTTTGTATTCCACCCAGTACAAGAGTGGTTCAACCGAGACGCCTGTGCATGTTCACCCTGTGTACGGTAATTCACCTCTACATAGATGTAGTCGATGGAAAGCTTACACCAGCATGAATAATCTAACGTGTTCTGAAACAAATCGACAGCGATAATGACGTCAAACCAACTGAAGGGTCTAACACTGGAGAAATATATCTTCCTTTTCATTTAATGCATAGTACTCGGTGGCCTCATTAAGTCAATACTTGATGCACTGATGTTTGCTATCCTCATGTAATCGGCACAATGATGTAATTGAGTCCTGCTTTTCGAACAGCTGTGGGTTGTCGATATGCATTTGACTCCATGACCCCTCACAGACAACAGACGATGAACAGCAGTGTTGACACTTTATGAATGTGATCTCATTGAGTCAGCACGCGAGGAACAGCAGTGTTGACACTTTATGACTGTGATCTCATTGAGTCAACACACGAGGAACAGCAGTGTTGACACTTTATGACTGTGATCTCATTGAGTCAACTCGCGAGGAACAGCAGTGTTGACACTTTATGACTGTGATCTCATTGAGTCAACACACGAGGAACAGCAGTGTTGACACTTTATGACTGTGATCTCATTGAGTCAACTCGCGAGGAACAGCAGTGTTGACACTTTATGACTGTGATCTCATTGAGTCAACACGCGAGGAACAGCAGTGTTGACACTTTATGACTGTGATCTCATTGAGTCAACTCGCGAGGAACAGCAGTGTTGACACTTTATGACTGTGATCTCATTGAGTCAACTCGCGAGGAACAGCAGTGTTGACACTTTATGACTGTGATCTCATTGAGTCAACACGTGAGGAACAGCAGAGCTGACACTATATGACTGTGATATCATTGAGTCAACTCGCGAGGAACAGCAGTGTTGACACTTTATGACTGTGATCTCATTGAGTCAACACGCGAGGAACAGCAGTGTTGACACTTTATGACTGTGATCTCATTGAGTCAACTCGCGAGGAACAGCAGTGTTGACACTTTATGACTGTGATCTCATTGAGTCAACTCGCGAGGAACAGCAGTGTTGACACTTTATGACTGTGATCTCATTGAGTCAACACGCCGGGGAACAGCAGTGCTGACACTATATGACTGTGATCTCATTGAGTCAACACGCGAGGAACAGCGGTGACACTATATGACTGTGATATCATTGAGTCAACTTGAGGAACAGCAGTGCTGACACTTTATGACTGCCATCTCATTGAGTCAACACGCGAGGAACAGCAGTGTTGACACTTTATGACTGTGATCTCATTGAGTCAACACGCCAGGAACAGCAGTGCTGACACTATATGACTGTGATCTCATTGAGTCAACACGCGAGGAACAGCAGTGCTGACACTATATGACTGTGATCTCATTGAGTCAACACGCGAGGAACAGCAGTGTTGACACTTTATGACTGTGATCTCCTTAACAGCACATGGCGAATAGTTCTGTAGACCGTATGTGACTGGTTGGCCTCACTGGGTCAACACATGATCAACATCTGTATATTGACAGTATATATGTGACAATCAACACACAGCTGTGACCAGACAGTCACGGTGTCCTCTTTCAGTCAACTTCATATGATATCAGCTTGATAGTGCCAACATTTTGTTACTCGTTGACCTCCTTGTGTGGACGCACGCTCAGCAGCTGTGTGCTAACTTTTCTTTAGACCTGTATTAACTAAGAAATGACTAAAGCCTTTTTCGGAAGACGTAGGTGACATTTGGTATTACTATATAGTTGTCTGGGAGTTAGCAACGTTTGGTATATATTTGATTATGGTCTGGGGGTAAGCAAAACTCGGTATGTGTGGAATTATGGTTGGGGTAAGCAGCACTCGGTATGTGTTGAATTATGGTCTGGGGTGAGCAGCACTCGGTATGTGCCGAATTATGGTCTGGGGTAAGCAAAGCTCGGTATGTGCCGAATTATGGTTGGGGTAAGCAGCACTCGGTATGTGCCGAATTATGGTCGGGGTAAGCAAATCTAGGTATGTGCCGAATTATGGTCTGGGGTAAGCAAAGCTCGGTATGTGTTGAACTATGGTCTGGGGTAAGCAGCACTCGGTATGTGCTGAATTATGGTCTGGGAGCAAGCTGCGCTTATGTGTTGGATTTTGTTCTGTGGGTAAGCAAAGCTCGGTATGTGCCGAATTATGGTCTGGGGTAAGCAGCACTCTGTATGTGTGGAATTATGGTTTGCGGTAAGCAGCACTCGGTATGTGCCGAATTATGGTCTGGAGTAAGATACACTCGGTATGTGTTGAATTATGTTTCTGGGAGCAAGCTGCGCTTAGTATGTGTCGAATTTTGTTCTGTGGGTAAGCAGCCCTCGGTTGTGCCGAATATGGTCTTGGATAAGCAGCGCTCGGTATGTCCTGCGTCCTGAATTTCGGATGGTAACTTAAGCAGTGTTCAGCGTGTATTCAGAATTTTATTCAGAATGGTCGAGGTATGGAAGGTTGAGCGGAGCACATACAACGATAAGGCTAAAACTTTCCACAATATGTAGGCACATAAATTCTTCCCTACTGAAGCACAGCAGCTTGTCAAAATAAATACAAAAATGCCCAACGAGATTGGCAGACAAGATGGTAAATAATATATGTTGATGTTGATATTTTAAAGTTTACATTTCCTTGTCGCTCGGTCCAGGCGATGATATAAACACAACTTGTGATGTGACATCAGGGTATGAATAAAGCTGCCCTACAAATGCTTCAACATTAAAACCGATGGACGACGCACCAATGTCTGCCATAACGGAAGAGATGTACAAGTGTGCGGCGCGCCGACGGGTACGACGTCACAGTTTACTTCAGACTGGCGTTGTTATATACGTCCGATAAGCTAGCGTAGTCACCTTCCGTGTCAGCATTGTCGTAGACGATGTCTTCTGGTTGTTGACGTTTTCTGTTCCGCCTCGGTGGGGCAGAAGGTAGTGGTGGTGGAGTTGATGACGTCGCTCTTTCGGTAGTTGCTGAGGGCGCCGGTGTTATTTCTTGTGGCGCTGTATATGTGGCACTGTCAACTGTTGTCTTCAGTACAGGTTTCTCGGGCTGGGTAATAACGGCAGGTATGTCTGGCTGGCTGTAAGCAGCCTCACTGTACGTTGGATCATTGTACCAGGACTCTTCTCTTCCTCCACGCTGTTGATTGAAGTTCCTCATCTTCTTCCTCTGGGACCTGTAGAAAGTGAATGAGAACACACTTGGGAGAGGGATATGTAAAGAGAGAAAGAAAGTGTGAGTGAGTAATTATAGTCTAGTGGTTAAAGCGTTCGTTCGTCACGCCGAAGACCCGGGTTCGATTCCCCACATGGGTACAATGTGTGAAGCCTATTTCTGGTGTGCCCCGCCGTGATATTGCTGGAATATTACTAAAAGCGGCCTAAAACCAAACTCACTCAACCACAGTGAGATAGAGCAAGAGTCTTGGGTTGGTTAACTGTTGCATTTTCCCCCGACGTTCATGGTGCAGATATTGTGCAGCATGCTGATGTGAATAGCTTACCTTCTGTAGAGCAGGTAGACGAAGACGCTGCCCATGATGGCGATAATGGAGACGAGAGACGCCACGACACCAGAGAGAATCCCCCCTGCAAAACCCAAAGACATATACACCTGTACAATGATCTATCCATCTATATCACTTGAATCCGACCATATCTAGGCACACCGATCAATCCATCTTCATCTTCCATCTACACCTACCCGGACCATTCTAGTTACACCAATGCTGATCATTAGGCCATCTACTGGACCATTCCATATGTCCATTAAAATTCACACTGACCTTTCGATCTACATCAAGCAGATCTCTCCTACACCCACAACAATTATTTTATTTTCACCTTCTTTTGTTATTCAGTCCCGTTGATTCCATCCCGATCTCTCTATATACACTTCCCAGGTCTGTCCATCTAAACCCACCCGATCATTCCATCTAACATCACCCCGATTTGTCCATTATATATTGTAGGCTCTTATATTCCCAAGGCCGGTAAGTCACGTACCTGGTATAGCACCCGAATCCTCCTTTACCGGGTCGCTCCCCGCCCCTCCCATGACGGCACCCACACCACCAGCAGAAGCTATGGATGCTGTCGTCTTCTCCACTGTGGGGGATGATGTTGTTACGGGATTTCTTGCACTGCACGAAGACAATTATAAACTTTGTTTTCAACTTCACAGAGCTTTAGTGTTAAATGATATAGACTTGAGGACAAGTGTTACAATGTATGACTCTTTGCTGCCAAGTAATAGTGACGGGATCTAGACAAGTGGAAGTAATTGTTGGAAATATACAATATAACAATAATAAACAGTTTTAACATAGACATATTTACACTAATGATGTAGCTGTTGAGGGGTTACGTAGCTACAATAGGCTGTGTAGAGTTGCGTCCCTTTTGAAAGCCAGAAATTAGTGATCGCAGGTTCAAATCCCAGTGCGCTCTTATAATGTTTCTAGGTTTGCCTGTACCATACACGTGCTCGAGGACTTAACAAAGTGGAACACGTCTACAACCTTCATCATCTCTCGTGACACGCCGATATAACTACACGGATGTTGATTGTTTAACTCACTCACTACCTGTGGAATAAAGTGGTTAGCTGTGGTTAGCTCACAGATTTCGGGTATGCTCCGAATATTTTAGTTAGTGAATAAGGGTTTATCGCCACTTTTGTAAGTTATATTACTGCTTGTCAGACTAATGTGGGCGATAATCCAGAAACGATACAAACATTCAACACTTTGATGAAAACCACGAGGACGTGCATGTCACAGACAAACCTCATGACATAATCTGGGAGAATCAGTGAATCAGTGAAAAATATTATGACCTATATAAGCCAGCAGATAGTGTTTCGACCTCGTGATATCATCAACTACTGACATACAAACCCTGAATAGCTCCCTTTGTAACGGGATCTTGGGCTATCTTCCATCCCTGCAAACGCCTTTCGCCTTTGAGAAGAACTATCAAAATGCCATCTGAATATATACCAGTTTTCCATACCTTTGTGCGTTGCTGGGTTGCGTCCCCTGTTCTGTGATGGCCGGGACTGAACTGATGTCGCGGCAGGTCATCAGCAGAGCAGCTCTGGTCGCGTTGGGTCCATGGGCTGGAATGAAGTCACAGTATGTTTACGTATAATCAATGGAGTACAGACGATGATGTATCTATAAGCCACGCCTGTCGGTGACACCCTGGTGTTCTTGTGTGTGAGAGGTAGCAGACTTTCACTGGCAAGCCGAGACCAGGCTGTTAATGCACTCACTGTCCTTATTTTCCTAGTACAATACTCATATCCTGACAGGAAGAGCTGATCCTTGCGTTCAGAGTTTGAGACTCGCTTACTGACCGGCTGGATGTGATCCTTGCGTTCTGGATACAATACTCACCTCCTGACAGGCTGGATGTGATCCTTGTGCTCTGGATACATTACTCACCCCGTGAGAGGCTGGAGCTGATCCTTGTGCTCTAAATACAATACTCACCCCGTGACAGGCTTGGATGTGATCCTTGTATTCAGGATACAATACTCACCTCCTGACAGACTTAAGCTGATCCTTGTATTCAGGATACAGTATTTACCCCCTGACAGGCTGGAGCTGATCCTTGTATTCAGGATACAATGCTCACCCCGTGACAGGCTGGAGCTGATCCTTGTATTCAGGATACAAAACTCACCCCGTGACAGGCTGGAGCTGATCCTTGTATTCAGGATACAATACTCACCCCATGACAGGCTGGATGGGATCTTTGTGTCACCCCATGACAGACTGCAGCAAATCTTCACTGAACACGACTCTCTCCTTCAGCAGGTCGGAGCAGAACCTTTTAAAACCCACTTAAGCTGAATATGTTCATCAGGGTAGAGCGCTCACCTCATATGGAGATTGAGACTGTTCAAGTTACAAAACTCACCTTCGAATATGCCGCGGAAGCCAGTCCTATCGGCCACTGCTGGAATCTCAGTAAGGTAGGTCATGCGGAGGACGTTGCTGGCGAGAGGTTGGGCATCCCGTCGAGTCTTTCCACACAGTTCCCCCACGACTTTGAACTTTTTGGCCTCGGGGTGGGTCTTCATCTCCATAAGAAGCATATCCTCAGTACAGAGAGTCTCGTTGCCTGCCATGCTAGTTGTCAGGGCCGAGATGGTGATGGAGGAGTTGGGCTCCGTCCTCAGGACGCACTCACATGTCATGAATTCTCCCGCCCTCCCGGAAGTGCCTCCTGGATAGCCAGGTGAGGTAACTATGACAGGGCCATTTTTACTTGTAATAGTCAGGTCACATATGCCAAATGTGGAGTCATCTGTAAACATACATTTACGAATATGGTTAAATAAATAAAGGTTTATCTTTAGTAGTGTTGACTACATAAAAATGTACACGAATGTTTAAAAAAAGCTGCATACTGAACTCTTTTCAGGTGTTTTGGAGTGCGTTCCATTATTGATAGCTCGTATCCTTATGAAACCCTCTTGACTATGTTCAAGGTTGTGGTATGGTAGATATTACAAGAATGAAAAATTAAAAACATAGGAAGAGCTATTTGACGAGAAATACTAAGAGCAATCAATGTAGAAATCTGATTTGTAATTTGTAAATTTGTAATTTACGCACCTGGCAAACAATCATATTCAACGGTGACGAAATTAATTGGTCGAGGACATTCTGCGAATGGCGTCTGTTCATAGCTGAGGTCACATGACTGAGCGCCATCACAAAGCGCCACCTGTTCATCTAAAGTAGCATCCCTCCGACATCTTGGACGTCTGCTGTCACACACGCCGTCATGAGAGTAGCCTGCTGTCACCTTGACAATTCTGATCTTATGTAAAGGGTCACATGACACATTACCCGATACAACGGCCACTTGCCTCCGTTTCCGGTCCGACTCTTGTCCTCTCCACATGTTATTTCCGGTCCAGCCATTCGTTGGTGTCCTGCTCAGACCAAACGCCGACCTAGCATTCACTGCATTTACTGGTCCACCCCAGTTTCTATTTCCTGACCAAGGATTCCTAGAGCGTCCAGAGCGAGGTCCCTCCTCCTCTTCTTCCTCAATCTCCTCTTCTTCCTCATCAGGCTCCCTATACCAGCCCCGGTTACCCATTCCCCCCTGTCTGTTATTTGTCCAACCGTTGTTGTTGCCTTCAGACCTAAAATTGTTACCACGATTCCTCGGTGCCCAGTCTTCCGGTTCCTCGTCCCACCATTCCTCGTCTGGTTCTATGTAACCGCGCCTAGTCGCCACCCCGCCTTGAGGCCCCCGGTAAACGTAGGGTCCGAAGGGTTGTGGAGTCTCTTGGTCTGGTTGCCCCAAATCGCCCGAGTCGTTGGTACCATTCTGCAAGGTATCGTTTCCCCATGGAAGTGTTGAGAGTAAGTCGATATTGAAGGATGGCTGGTTCGTTGTCGTCGTAGAGGTAGCAGATGTTGCAGTGGTAGAAGATGGAGGGACAGGCTTAAAGCAAGACACCTTCCTCGATATACCTGCTGGAAGGAGAACTCAGTTAACTCGGAGGGTGAAGTAAAGACTTCAACATAAGTTCATCATAATCTTCATCAAAACACAAACAACGCCTCACACCAAACATTCTGTGAGTAAGCGTGCATAAAGGACAAACATGAAGGCCAGTGTCGTCATTTTAATCTCCAACTTCTTTGAGTGGCCTTTAGAAGTTGGTGTTTTGAACAATGAGGAGAGTTCTATGCATATACAACTTCTTTATTATTATTATAAGAGACGTTTCGGTGTAGATACTAACACCATTATCACTTGCTTGATAACGGTGATAGTAGCTACACCGAAACGTCGTTTATACTAATAAAAAAGAAGTTGTATATCCTAGAACTCTCCTCGCTGTTTAAAGAAATCTAGTTTAAAATTAGATTTGACAAACTTTGCAAACTCACTCAAATGTTATTAGGCTGAAAACAATAGCCTAAACACTGCAAAAGTAACGTATAAAACATAGACCGATGATACCTGTATCACAAGTTCTTGTATGCTTCCTGTTTAGCCACTGTTAACATAGGTTTATCATTACAATTCCAGAATCAGAACCTTATCTGCAGGGCCGTATCGAGTTTCCCAATTTGATTCTTTAAACTGTTTTTTTACAGGTATTCTATACCGAATAATGTATTTCAGTATGTTTGTTATTCTGTATATTGGAGCGGTGGGGTAGCCTAGTGGTTAATACGTTCGCTTGTCATGCCAAAGACCCGGGTTCGATTTCCCACATGAGTACGAAGTGTTACGCCCATTTCTGGTGTCCCCTGTAGTGACTTGGCTCGAGTATTGCTAAAAGCGGCGTAAAATCATACTCAATCACTCACTCACATGTTGGCATCTTTATTATACATACTAGTATGCATGATAGAACTCTGATGTTGATTAATGGAGGAAGAACAGGCAGCGACAGGTTAAAAAAACCCTACCTCCTTCCTATCAATAGATACGGGTGGATTGAAAGGTTCCCAACAATCTCAGTACAAACTGAATATCTTGCGTGTATTAAGCACATTACGTTCCATGCTTACCGGCTACATCTGAGACACTATACTACCAAGGACTGGAGAACCCTCTGCGTCATTTAAGAAAGAATCAAATATCATGACCAGTAAATATCATGTATCGAAATATGGCAGATCTACCTAACCTAACCTGCACTTTTACAGGTACACTGACGATAAACTTGCGTGAGTTGTCATCCATCCTTTAGCTTGAGGTAACTACCTAACTCTCGTCCCGAGGTAATGACCTTGACCGTACATTCCCACCAGTGCAACTGTCACCTGAGTTGTCACCCGGTTACAAATTATTGCGGTTATTTTACTTTGTGTTGACAGGGATAGGAATTGAGATGTGTTGTGAAATTTATTGCTCAGGAAAATGATGGAATACTTACAGGTTATGAAAGGAGAAGAGCATTGGAAGCTTGGGGTTGTTTTACTCGTGCAGTATTTATTGTTCTGCAGATGATTTCTATAGGCAGCATGCGACTGAGCTGATGACATATCTAGGTAAGATTACTGGTGCCACTGATGATTTCTATAGGCAGCATCCGACTGAGCTGATGACATATCTAGGTAAGATTACTGGTGCCACTGATGATTTCTATAGGCAGCATCCGACTGAGCTGATGACATATCTAGGTAAGATTACTGGTGCAACTGATGATTTCTATAGGCAGCCTCCGACTGAGCTGATGACATATCTAGGTAAGATTACTGGTGCAACTGATGATTTCTATAGGCAGCCTCCGACTGAGCTGATGACATATCTAGGTAAGATTACTGGTGCAACTGATGATTTCTATAGGCAGCATCCGACTGAGCTGATGACATATCTAGGTAAGATTACTGGTGCAACTGATGATTTCTATAGGCAGCCTGATTTCTACTGAGCTGATGACATATCTAGGTAAGATTACTGGTGCCACTGATGAATTTCTATAGGCAGCATCCGACTGAGCTGATGACATATCTAGGTAAGATTACTGGTGCCACTGATGATTTCTATAGGCAGCATCCGACTGAGCTGATGACATATCTAGGTAAGATTACTGGTGCAACTGATGATTTCTATAGGCAGCCTCCGACTGAGCTGATGACATATCTAGGTAAGATTACTGGTGCCACTGATGATTTCTATAGGCAGCCTCCAACTGAGCTGATGACATATCTAGGTAAGATTACTGGTGCAACTGATGATTTCTATAGGCAGCCTCCAACTGAGCTGATGACATATCTAGGTAAGATTACTGGTGCAACTGATGATTTCTATAGGCAGCCTCCGACTGAGCTGATGACATATCTAGGTATGATTACTGGTGCAACTGAGCTGATGACATATCTAGGTAAGATTACTGGTGCAACTGATGATTTCTATAGGCAGCAACCGACTGAGCTGATGACAATATCTAGGTAAGATTACTGGTGCAACTGATGATTTCTCAGCCGTCACGTTGGCGACACTGACCTTCGGTTTCAACAACGCGATCTTTTGCTGTAACAACGTGATCGTGTTGTACCGCTAGAACATCTTGAACCTTGGTGGTTTCCTAGTCAGGCTAATTGTCTCCAGGAGTTGATGGTCTGATGTCGACATTGGAAGATGACTCGTATGAAGACTCGGAAGACTACTCGTATGAATACGCTACAACATCTGGTTTCCCGGTATTATGGTAACTGACGTTGTCAATGGGCGAGTAGACTTGGCAGTATCTGATGTTCCAACCAGTCATGAGCAAATCACCACTGGCTTCCTTCTGATATTCACAGTTTTCTTTTCGACTCAAAAACTAGCTCACGTCCTTCAATATGCCCCAGACCTCGGGTTCCAGTGTTCAAAACAATGACACAATTACGGTAGTACAAGTAGATGAGTATTTCAACTGCAAGAGTCAGTGGAACATCCTATCTTGTTTTCAAGGACAAAAAAGCTTTGACTGACATTATTATTGGTAAAAATGGAAAAATGGCAACCACGCTCTCAACATCTATAACAGCAAAGGCTAATTTCAACATCATACATGCCGGCATAGTGTATTTAGGAAACGATGCACCTTCCTTTGCCATAATAATAGGAAAAGCTGGGTAGCGGAGATAAAGAGGGGAGAAGAGAACCTTGAAGATCATCAAAGAACAGGAAGACCTTCATCCATTGCCAGTAAGGAACATGATGTAATTTGTGATAATCGTCGACTCGCCATTCCCGTATGGCCAGTACACCCAAAACCACACTCTAAGAAATAAACTGGGTTCTTCTGACTCCATGTTCAGGTTCATCATCTGAGATTGTTTTCGTTTTGAAACAGACCCAGCTGATTTTGTTGCATGATCTGTAATAGCGGAGGAGTGTTAGTTTAACCACATAACCCATTTGATTCACAACTATATACCCATAAACTAAAAAAGTAGTGGACACGTCTAACGTTTCTCCTCCGATGAATACAAAGCTGGCAGGGTGTTGGCTTCCGTTTTCTGGGATTATCAAAAGACCATTAATGGGCATTATGTCTCCAAACTAATTACGCATATGTGTGAGAATGGTTGAAACTAACTCAAGGAAGACCCATGTGGACCAGGACGATACATCTGTGTACAAGTCTGTTGTCCCCATGACTGTTATGCATGACTATGGCGACCCGTGAAGATCCGAGTTAGGTCTTTAGCAACCCATGCTTGTCGTAAAACGCAACTTATGGGATCGGGTGGTCAGGCTCGCTGACTTGGTTGACACATGTCATCGTATCCCAGTTGCGTAGATCGATGCTAATGATGTTGATCACTGGATTGTCTGGTCCAGACTTGATTATTTACAGACAGTCGCCATATGGCTGGACTATTACTGAGTGCGGCGTAAAACAAGCATGACTGCGGCTTTGTACTCATTGTACTCATTGAAGATTCATCATTCTCCCTAATTCAACAGACACGTCGTCATACGATTTGAATACGTTCCAAAGCGGCGTTCAACCAAAATTTAGGAGCAAAGCTGAAAGTGATTCAGGTCTTGGACGTTTACAACTTTGATGAAACCAACTTGAAGAGGAAATGCTTCTGAAATTTCATAATTGATAAGTATATGGAATCCTAGAAGTTACATCGACGTGATGTTCCTTTCCGCATTCCATGGAAATATTCGTACATGACAAATGTGTCGACAATATCCAGCACGCTGACATCACGTCTCTGGTGACACACGGTTGTTGGGTTTCAGAGTCTGGGTAACTTCGTGACTGTGTTCCAAAAACTAGGATTTTTCCTTGATGTGTATATGACGTCATCAACTTCTTTATTACGAAAGGAGAATAAAGAAAATAAAGAAAGAAATAAGACGTCTGAGATTTCTTTTTCAAACAATACGTCAGAAAATATTTTATAATGATTGATACACTGACAAATCTATAGGCAGACTTGTTACATATCAGTTTTACAGTTTGAACATGTGAAATTGTACAGGCACAAGCCCCACCTGTGTTATTTATGGGCTGCAGTAAGTCCTTGGTATCGTTACGTACGTCATTTCAAGGACACTGAGTGTACAGGTTGTCAAACTTGATTCAGTGCTGTATTTAATCAAAACATGTTATGTTTTCTCTTTGACTCGACATCGAATACTAAATACAGATGAAACACAAAAGATTCATTCTTTGGCTAAATGCTACTATGTTCTTCATTAAACATTACTATCCTCTCGTAATATACCTGTCTGTCTGTTGCTTCGAATAATGCGGCCCAGGATTCCCATAGTAGATACATTTATAAACATTGATGCACATGCTAGCCCCCTGGGTGCAAATATCATCTTGCCATTTTATGCTCCTTGGTCTGTCAGTGAATTTCACCAAAGTGGCAAACGTCAAGAACTTGCATTACTTCGGGTTTTCCTCCCACATTAAGCCGATAAGAGTAACATAACTGGAATACCCATTCAACCACACCCCAACCCAACCCAAACCAACCCCACACTGATGCAGGATTGT